GTCGTAAACGTTTGAAAATTAAAAATAAACGTGGGGGTGTGGGGAGTTGGAAAGAAGTGAGCATACCTCTGTAGATGCTGCTCACATCTGTTTGAGGCTAGCAGCTCGAGGCTACATTAATCGCTACTAGCATAACACTCTGACCGTACAGGATTTGACAGTGAAGAATAATAACGATGATATGTGTGGTATGGCTGCATTGATTTTAACCCTTTTTTTTCTTAAACTATTCATCGGGAAGTCAACAATGTTACAGCAGTGGAATGCTAAATACTCCTTAAAGTAAAAACACAACATTATTTGTAACAAAGTACTCCTATTTCTTGGATCATTTTTGCATTACTATGTAAGTGGCACTTTAATGTTTTATTTGGTCAAGGTGGGGCTAACTTTAAATGTACTGTACTCATATAGTGTTGTGTCTTTTTGATTTATAACCAAACATCTTATTTTATAAACAAGTCACATGTTTGTATTTACAATCTTAATCTAAAAAATGTAACCAACAACAATAGCTGTGAAATAAATGTTGTAAAAATTACAATATTACTCTCTGAAACGCAGTTAGTTAGAAATATAAAGTACCGTAAAATAGAAATACTCAAATAAAGTACAAGTACCTCAAAATTATAGGCTACTCCCGATAACAACAGTATTTTTGTGTAGTTGTTCTTAGGTGTTTTTTACCCCATCAGGCAGATCCTGTACGGTCATTTAAAAGCCTGCTTTGGTCATACACAAATTGATCGGTTTCTACTCAACACGCCGTTGCCCTTGTGCACTGTATGTGGAGGGTGTTTAACTTGTCTGCATCAGTGCAGCAAGGACCTAATTCCACCCATTGGTTTTAGCTAATCAAGTCCTTCTGTTTCCAGTTACGCCTTTCACAAACACTGAGGGAGAGAGCTTTGGAAAAAGAACCACAACACCCCCCCCTTTACAAAGAGACACTTTGAGCAGCGTCGAGCCCAACAGCAGTCACAAGGACAGCGGGCCCAGTAGATGAATAGCGTGGAAATGAACAGTCCACGTGTCAGTAACCAAAACATGAGATCATGAGCTGGAACAACAGCAAGGTTAGCAGCCACGGATTAACAAAGAGGTCGCCCTTAATGTCAGGCCTGGAAGGCCCCGAGGGCCAAACACACACACACACACACACACACACACATAGACAGAGGGGGGAGGAGAAGAGGGAGGGGGTGATCCATCAGCGAGGTTGAAACTAGCTGATTTTCGTTTTTCTTTCTTGAAATGCTGGTCGGGTTATTCCAGGGTGTTTTTTTTTTTTGGCCTCTGGTAAAATAATTGACGACTCAGCGTGTGTGATGATCTCATGTAATATTACCGTTTTCTTATTTTTGCAAAAGGGAAAATATGGACGGAGCTGCTGTTGGGGGTGTTGTGAAGAGATCATGGGGGGCACCATTTTTTTTTTTTTTTAAACCCTTCTTATTTGAATTGCCCAAGGCCGGCTCAACGTCGCCAAGTCCAGATGGAGATTGTGAAAAGCGTATTCACAAGTATTTTGTAAATCAGACAGATCACGCTCGAGGGTTTTGAATGCAAAGCACGGATACAACGTTCAAAACATGGAGGGGGGGGGGGGGGGGCACAAGAGGAAACAATGGCACTGTCTGTTCCTGTAGACAGTGCGAGCTCGGAGAGGATGCGTTCAGGCATAGAATGTAAACGATACAATAATTGTGCATGGTGATATCAGTTAAGGAGGGACTAAACATGAACACTCTAAACTGCAGGACTCATACACACCCATGCAGGGCAACACACACACACACACTGAGGTGGAACTTAAGCAATATAAACCTGGCCACACCAAGCATGGAGACGTGTCAGTGCCCATGCTAAACAGTAATCTTTCATGTAGCACAGGCACACAAAAAAATCATGCTTTAGAAACACCAATTTAAATGGATTGCAGTGAAAGACTCCACGACCCTCCTTTATGTCACAGTCCTCTGCAGTTTCTCCCAAGTGCACAACGACATTAGAGGGAGCCTGCCGTCATACAGAGAGAACAGCCAAGCTCAGAAAATCTGGCTTGTTTTGCTTTGTCAGAGACCTTCACAATGTCCTTCCATTAACCTATGTGTGTGTGTGCGTGTGCGTGTGTGTGTGTGTGTGTGTGTACCTGTGTGAGCGAGAGAGAGGAAAAACTCCCACTTCAGTACCACTCTGCTGTAGTCCTGCATGACTCACACCTTTTTACAGTGAGGTCTGACCACAACGACACAGCTGCAAAGCACTCTGTGGTGCAAAATCCTCTCTTCTTTTGTACTGTCATGACTAACAGGCTGATCTTCAATCTAACAACGTCCTTTTTTGAATAGGTCCAGATACTTGTCCCAACAGATCTCAGCTTTCTCTTTTTTTGCACCAAACGTGTCGTGGATTTCAATCAATTTAAAATACCATTTGCAGCTTTCCTTTTCTTTGGTTGTTGCTATTTTGCAATACATTGTGGTAGTGTTCAAACGCTGCAAGGCCATGGGCAAAATGTATTGTAATAAAGAGGCAAGCGCCTGGTGGAGAATTGCTGTGACAGTCAGTGTTCTCTGCAGGTCGCTAGCCTAGAAAGTGACTTAACTCAAAGCTATGGCGAAGTAGTACCACCGTCAACCAGCTCCGTAAACAAAGGGACGACCGGTTTGAAGGAGGCTAATATGTTCGTGGTTTTAAAGTTAAGCTGTGAGGTAAAGTGAGAATGGTTTGTTGACATTGGGCTACACGGCTTGGCAGTAACAGCTGGTTTGATTTGATTTCATCTGGGCTGCATTGATGCAGTCGAGTGCTATGATCAGCGAGATTAATCACCATCGTCATCCATTACAGTATCAGCCGTCTGACCGTTGATTGATACAAAATTGTAAACTCTCACAAGCAATCTAGAGATGGGTAGGGTTCACATTAACACCACAAAGGATGTCATTTCAGATTTGCCTCTTGACCTAGGCCTTTTACAAATGTGATTGGTCTCATTGACTTGTTAATGACTCTTTTGATTGGGCCGGTGTCTGTGCATGAATGTGGCCCTTGTCTCGTCCCTGTTCAGACTGTTATTATGCTCCTCTCCTCTCCTGCAGGCTATTTGTCTGCGCTGCTTGCCTGCATCTGTATGTTTCTCTCGACCTTCATGGTTGATCACACGGCCAAAATCAATTCCCCGTTGCATTGATTTTTCTAATTCAACATGGCATTTGTCGATCAATGAGCTGTGTTGTTGTTGTTGTTGTTGCTGCATTTGCCAGCTATGACCACACTGCTGTTTGTGTATGTTGTGTATTTTTGTTGCAGACACACCTGGCAGAGATCTGCACTCTTCTGAGTGCACCTTACTGGTTTCTGGCTGGGATTTCTCTCCTCTGGACAAGTGCCTATATGAGTTATTATTAGCTGGTCAGCTGCACCGCGTGCGTGTGTGTGTGGTCAAAAGTAATTTCTACTGGGCTCCCCTAGTAAAAGAGCTGCCATCCATAATGCAGAGGAAGGAGAGTTGGGGGAGCGGACTGTAACTCCTCATTTTGCTCCCTATTACAGAGCAGCAGCTTGGCCTTTTCGCTCAATTTCTCCACTGACTAAAGGCAATCCCTCCTCAGCTGCATCTCTGATTGCTAGCTGCAGCATAGACAGACAAAGAAGCAGAGTGTGTGAGTGTGCGTGTGCGTGTGCGTGTGTGTGTGTGTGTGTGTGTGTGTGTGTGTGTTGCTGGCATTTCAGCACAACAGCAAAGCTCTGAGATGCTTGTTTACCTCTTGGATGTGTGAGATCTTAACACTGTCCTCTAATATTCAGCTGTCTATCTCATGGACGTATTTGTTAAGATGAACGCGATGGGGAAAGCAAAGCGCGGCGTCTAGATGTGCTGTCTAACATTAGCAAGTGAAATGTTGCACTCAAGATAAAAATGCCTTTCTCTTGTACGCACTTTATCACTGGAAGCAATCCGTTTTGATGCCCAAAGCTCGAGCCCAAACGGTACGGTTGAATACACTTTCCACTGGATGAAAGATCTTGTTTGTTGGTGATTGTATTAGAAGGGAAAACTATTAAAAGAAGCCTTTTTTATGAAAGGGCTCTTGGTAGAACGCCTAGTGTGGATTCTTGTTTGCACCCGTAGGAGGTGGAAAGGTCCTATATGGTTCTAGTTAGCGCCTTTTTTGGCTGTGTGAGTGTGGCTTCAGCTCTTTCTAAGGTTTGAGATTACCTGCCTTGTCTCTCTAATCTCCCTCAGTTAATCATCTGATTTATTTTCTCTACATGCACATTAATGGCTCAGGAGGTGTGACCAAGGCTCAGACCTTCTGAAAGTCAACATGAGTGCAACACTGCTGACACGTTCGTTCTCACACTCCCTTTTACAGTGATGAACATCAACAACAACAACATTGTTTCCGTCCATCTTAGTGTGAAGAAAACTAGCTCCCAGATAGCCGAGTGTGTGTGCAGTGATGGACCGTGATGCTCTCTGTCAGGATGATGTCATTATAGTGACTCAGGGCCACTCCTTCAAAGTAGTTACTTAAGCCAGGGTGCATCGTTGGCATCCTAATGTGGCCAGTTTACTCGATTCAGTCCATCAAGCCAAACATGACATCTCGCATCTTAGAGTGCACAAACAAAAAATGCAAAGGATTTGTATTTTTGCACATGTGGATAACTATGATGCGTCCTTCATTTGTTTGATTCATTTATGTTTGTTTACCTGTGAGGTGGGTGCCAATCCCCCAAAACACTATTGCTATAATCATCATAGCGTTTAAGTAATTGTTCAAGCAAAAATGTGCTTCTCAAATGTGTTTGATGTAATTGGAAATTAAGAATCTTCGGGTTTAGACAAAAAATAAAACCAACAAAAAAAAATTGTTGTTTGTCGCTCTTATTTTAAAAGATACAACTTACGAAGGCCGGACATGTCATGCAGTGTAACCCGAGGTTTTGACACGCTTTAATTTTCTGTGCCTTCTTTGCATCCATGACAGGTTTGAATACCTCTGATCATATCGGCTCCACGGCCAGCCAGGTGGCCAATCAGGTGATAGCCAGGCTCACTGAGGAGGGAGACCAACAGTGAGACTGGAAGACCCTCTTACCTCACCCACACCGCTTCACCCATCCCACTCCATCGTCACCACCATGTCTATACCCAGCAGCAGCCCAGAGAGAGAGGGCTCCAGTGGGGCTCCCCCCTCAGCTAGAGTGCCCTTCTTCCCCTCCCGGCATGGACCCAGACCCCCCATCAACGGGCAGCCCAGTGCTCAGCCCAGACTCATCTTCCCATGATGCAGTGCTGTCAGCGCCGGCAGCCTCCCCGGCAGACTCGGAGAACTTGAGTCCTGACGAACTGGAGCTGCTGGCCAAACTGGAGGAGCAGAACAGGTGAGCTCAGTAGCTGTCCTGGTGAAAACGAGACAGTTATTATAGTTGTATTGTAGCAGGTTCAACCAGTTAATACTGAAGGAGTAGTTGTATGTTACGTTTAGACTTCCAAACAATTGACCATTGTCCATTCAGCAAGCCCGTTAAGCTTTCTCTGCATGTTTGAACGGTCGTGTCTTTTTCTTTCTAAAAAACCTTCAATCAACACGAGATGGTATCACATACCCATTTACAAATTTGACATTTAAATGAAAAACAATCAACTCCAATAAAAAAACACCTTATAGATGATTTTATGTGTCACTGTTTACACTTTGCATCGATGACATTGGATCGTTGATCATTGAATCCAAAACATCGATCCAGATTGATGGATCGTTACATTTGTAATTTTAAAACTAGTCAGTTAGAAACGTAAAAATATTCAGCAGGAAACAGTTGTTTTCAGTTCATGGTGCTAACGTTAGCTCAGTTAGCTTGCTAGTTACAGTTGTTACTGTGGGCAGGTAGGTAGGTGAATAAGCAAATTTAAAAAAATAAAAGTTTACCTAAAGAACCAACAATGAACAAGAAGAGTCTATAAACTGTATATGGTTGACGTTTGGAGTAAAATCTTCTGATCAAACAAGAACACAAACTCAAGAATAGATGAAAGAAGAGACAAATAGGTCAACTTGCAAGTGTATTTACAGTTTGACTTCAGCAGCAGATGCTGAAGCTCATAACATAATGAGGTTTGAAGGTAGCGTTAAAACAGCGACTAATTAATGAGATGGTCTAATACGGGAGATAATTAGAACTTCATGATGGGGGATAAAGAAATACGATCTCCAGGGGAAGTTTGTGAAACGACGACAGTAGTACAGGTAGATAGATTTTCTGTATTAAAGCCAAATATTGTGCAGCACATAGCAACCACTGATACCTCAAAAGTAAATTAAATAAAACAATAATAGTTTCCTTACGAGACCTTTTTAATGAATCTTTCCCTAATGTTAAAAAGCACATAAAAAATATCAGATACCGTTGTCTATTTGTGAGACTTAAAGTGATAGACGAATCTAAGATTGACTTTTGAACATGAGAAGATTGAGATTGAAAACGTGTATTTGGCCCTGTATAACTTAGCATGCAGATGGCCTTGGTCCCAGTCATTTCTGGAGAAATAGGTCAATATACTGTATTTTCCAGCGTTTAGACACAGACCACTTTGGGCTTGAAACTTTGTCGTTGTTCAAGGTGTGCATGCACCCAGTTCACTGCAAAAGAAATTTGTGTGAAATGACCACAAGCTGATGTCAAGTCGACCCTGGATCACAAGTCTGCTTGCCCCACATTCGCAACAATACACTGGATAACAGAAAGTGGGTATGTAGGTTAGTGTTTTTGAAACCACTGAATAGGTGAGATTCATTTTTTTAAATCTCTAAAGCAGGCCTGGACGCTGTCAGTTTTTGTCTTTTCATATCTTTTTTGTAACTTTTTACAAACAGCGGAACATGACTAGGACCATTCATACACAGGGATTTAGGTGCCATGACCCCGAAACAAAAAGAAGAAATAAAGAAAAGCATTAATCAGTGTCTGTTTCCTGAGAACAATCCCATTTCATCCAGTGTTTGTCATACAGTACATATCATTGCGATAGCCTTGTACTGATATCATACATGTAGCCGAGATGCTTCTACATGGCCTCTGAGAAAGCCCATCATTGAAATGTAATGTAATCACCTGGTTTCAAAGTCATGTTTCAGAAAGGGACTTTTCTACTGAAGGGTGAGGTTTAATCCCTGAGTTAGATAAGGTTTAATCCCACACAATGAGCAGCACCCACCAGATTCTCCAGGGGAAATGTCTGGTCACATGTTTGTATCACTGCACAAAAATACATTTAGTTTTGTTTAGACTCAAAAAGACAGTGAATCCCTTTTTAAAGACAAAAGGTAGCTCTGTGGAAGAAGCCACATCCTGTACAATTCTTCCACCATCATACATTTTATCTCTGCTTCCTGCTCTCCCAGACTCCAAGTAATACAAGGTTAATTTAAAAAAAAAAATGTCAAGGAAAATACGCTAATTTGTTTTCTTGCCGAGAGTTCCATTAGCAGATCGATAGCACTCTCATATCTGTACGTGACATATGAAGCTAGAGCCAGCAGCTGGTTAGCTTAGCTTAGCATAAAGACTACAAACAAACCAGCAGTGACTCACTGGCTATAAGATAAAAGGCTGCAGCTTCATATTCATTGTGCAGACATGTGTGACAGCAGTATTGACCTTCTCATCTTAATCTCAGCACAAAAAAAGAGCTCCTTTTCCCCCCAAACTGTTCCTTTGACTTATTTTTATTTGTGAGAAATACAGCGAAAAACGTTCTTCAGTATTTAAAAAACTCTGCTGATCGTCCCAATGTCGGTCTGCCTGCCGTGCCTCAGCTTCCCAGTCACTCTCCAGTGTGTGTACCTGCTCCCCGTCTTCATAAGCTGTCTCTTCATGCAGGCTGCTGGAGGCCGATTCCAAGTCCATGCGGTCGATGAGCGGCTCGCGGCGCAACAGCGGCTCCTCGCTGGTGTCCAGCTCCTCGGCCTCCTCCAACCTGTCTCACCTGGAGGAGGACACCTGGATCCTGTGGGGCCGCATCGTCAATGAGTGGGAAGAGTGGAGACGCAAGAAGGACAAACTCCTGAAGGTGGGGACTGGATATTTGAAAAGATAAAGATTACCTGGTTTTCTGAAGATTTGAGTCATTGAACATAATTAAAAAAGAGAACATAAATAAGATGGTTATCGGCCTCCTCGTTTTATTTTCACATGTTGTTTACCGGAACATACAGAAGAAAAGCTCTGTAAATCCCTGACTCATTGCAGAGGCTTGTTGGCTATTTATATCCGTCTGTTTTTATCCATAAGGTCACAGTGTGCGTCCCTTTTAGCCGCGTGTGTGTCAGAAACGTGGAGCTGAGTGTTGTCTGAGAGCTCCGGGTTTTTTTTTTTTCAATTTAAAACAATACTAAATCTGATTCCACCAATGGCTTTAAGTTGCACTTCACCAACACGCCTCTCTCTTCGCCCGTGTCTTTCGGCGTCCTCTGTGACGAAAAAAGAGGAAACACCCGGGGGAGGAGAGGATGGATGAGAGGAGGGACAGCAAAACGAGTTAGAGCGAAATGGGAGAGCAGACAAACCAGGCAAAATGACACACGGCCTGCCTGCAAACTCTACATGGAGTTCGGCTTTAATGATGATTATGATGAAAAACATGAGTAGGTGAAGGATTGATGTGATACCTCATAATGCAGCTGGTGGATGTAATTATGACATGATGCTAAATTATTCTTGTAAATACATCTATTTATAATCCCGTAATTGATTCTGCATTCTCTTTGCTCTTCAAGAGATGCTTCAACTTACATCCCTCGCCACATAACAGAGCAAGGTCTCTCTCTCTCTCTCTCTCTCTCTCTTTCTCTCTCTCTCTCTCTCTCTGCGCCCTCCAGGAGTTGATCAGGAAGGGCATCCCTCACCATTTCCGGGCCATCGTCTGGCAGCTGCTGGGCAACGCCACCGACATGCCGGTGAAAAACCAGTACTCCGAGCTGCTGAAGATGTCGTCCCCGTGCGAGAAGCTCATCCGCAGAGACATTGCCCGCACCTACCCCGAGCACGAGTTCTTCAAAGGCCAGGACAGCCTGGGGCAGGAGGTCCTCTTCAACGTCATGAAGGTGAGCACTGCGGCATCTCACATCACCTCAAGGTCTGGACTTCTGAGTCCTGATATTCAGCGAGGTGAGACTGGCGTCTGTCGGAATCAATGTATTTTGCTTGTATGTGTGTTTAGCCGGGGTTACAGTTTGTTAAGTGGTAGTTTCATTTGGCGTGCTGTGAGTGACTTGGTGGTTGCAGCTCAGATTATGTGTTTGTGCCAAATCAGGTATAAATCTGCTCCTCTGGTTCCGGTCGCAAAGATTTTCCTTTTCCTTTTAGTGCTGTTTATCAATCTAGATCGTTCTGGTGCGAGTCGCCTAGTTTTGGAGATATCGGCCTCACTTCAAGGTCTGTAGATTATCTTGAGTAACCGAGGTCATGATTTCTGGAAAGAGTTTTTCAAACACCACAAGCCGAGTGCTATACAGTTCCATTATATTCAAAATCATGTGTTTCAGCATGACAAAAATAACAGTAATCAAATCAGCGTGCCATTTTGAAACACGTCTTCCCGCAGTCATTCAGAAAAAGATGCATTGAACTGGAAAGATTCTGCTGTGATCAGCATTTTGCCCTTGCCAGTGTTTCCTTCCTAATGTCATTTTATTCATGAGACCAAATCTCTAGGGAAACATAAAATGTGGAGATTTGTTGCTCGTTCCCCGTTTACACACCAGTCATGTTTCCTGGTGGCTCAGCTCGGCAGGAAATGAAGGGACCTCTGGTGACTTCTTCGTAGCTGAATGCTCAGCCTGGATTACAGATGTCATCTGTGCTGCTTTCTATAAATACATCGCATAGCAAATGTAATGTGTGTGTGTGTGTGTGTGTGTGTTGTTTCAGGCATACTCTCTGGTGGATCGAGAGGTGGGCTACTGCCAAGGCAGCGCATTCATCGTTGGTCTGCTGCTCATGCAGGTAATGATCAAATATATCATGTTTAAAATGATCTATGATGAGGATATTTTGCCAGGGTCACTATAATACGTCCGGAGTTCACCGTAATCAGTCCCTCTAGATTTCTCTGATTGCTACAACCACAAACAGTTGATTACGTTGTGGGATTTGGAAACAGTTGCAAAGCAATAAAGTTGTCTCTAGAGGGGAAATATAAGAGTCAGTGTATAATAAACTGTTCGACATAAGCAATGTCTAATTCGTAGCTGAAATGAGGGAACTTTACTCACCCGCCTCCCCTCCTCCCAGATGCCCGAGGAGGAGGCGTTTTGTGTTTTTGTGCGTCTGATGCAGGAGTACCGTCTGAGGGAACTGTTCAAACCCAGCATGGCCGAGCTGGGCCTCTGCATCTACCAGTTCGAGTATCTGCTACAGGTACAGAGGAAGCAGGAGAGTCTATCCACAAACACGAGGCTTGCAGCGTAGCTTTCCTCCACAGAGGGGCAGCAAAGCATTCGTTTGTATCTTCAGCACATCACTTTTGTTTTGTATGTCACTCGAGGCATGAAAATCATCCTCTTTTCTTCGCCTCAGGAGCAACTTCCAGAGCTGAACGTCCATTTTCGATCTCAGAGTTTCCACACATCCATGTATGCCTCGTCCTGGTTCCTCACCCTTTTCCTCACCTTCCTCCCCCTGCCTGTCGCCACGCGCATCTTCGACATCTTCATGTATGAGGTAGGAAACATTTTGAGTATTGGGATGTGTGTATATTCGTTTTTTGTAATCTGTACCTTTCAGTCCACTGAGCTCACGTAACAACAATATGCGACCTGTCTGTAGGGCCTAGAGATTATCTTCCGCGTGGGCCTGGCCATCCTGCAGTACAACCAGACTGACCTCATTCAGCTGGACATGGAGGGTATGTCGCAGGTAAGCAGCTGCAGCTTCATGATGTTTGCTGCAAAAATGAGTTTAATGTGTGGATTCAGCCACACATTATTCGAATTCGATCTTGATTTGTGTTTATATTATCTGATTTCTGATAACAGATGAAAATCTAAGAGACAAAGGTTTCACCTGTCAGAAGCTTGTTTCTCATTTCGTTTCTCTCTTGATTTTGGGGTAAAATTCAATATAAAATAGGGCTGCAACTAGCTATAATTATTATTGTCATCATTTATAATGTCAATTATTCCCTTGATTAATTGAAACAGTTTGTTGATAAAATCATAAAAATGGCCTTTATATTTATTTACAACAGTCCAAACCCGAAACGTTCACTTTATCGTCATACATCGCAAAGAAAAACAGCAAATCATTAGAGTTTTTGATTGACAAATGAATTCATCCGTAAACTCAATTTCTTTATCGTACTGATGAATGAATACATGAACTTAATTGAATGCAGCAGCCGATTGCTCGACACAACACAGGGCAGACGCTCTCCTTCATTTCTATACAACGTGCCTGCCTGCTTCTGCATGAAATATGAATGAGCATCTCTTGTCTCGCGCTCTCTAATCTTGTGTGTGGTTCCCTCCGGGTCTGCCAGCATTTTCAGAAGGTGATCCCCCACCAGTTTGACAGCTGCACAGACAAGCTGATCCTCAGGGCCTACCAGGTCAAGTACAACCCCAAGAGGATGAAGAAGTAAGAGCGCTTGTTACTCAACTAACGACTAATAAGACTGTGAACAGGCTTTAACGTTGCCCAGTAGGATTTGTACTTCAGTCTAACTATTGGTTTTTGCTCAGCAATTAAAATTATAATGGAGCGCCAATCTAAACATTTTGATGTTGAGGTAACATTGCATAATCCTGTGTTGTTTTTGTGTATTTTTATTTTTTACCAGACTTGAGAAAGAATATACCACAATCAAGAACAAAGAAATGGAGGAACAAATTGAGATCAAGGTGTGTGTCTACTCAGCTGTGTGTGTATGCATGATGTGGATATTACAAACGCTATTAGTAGGATTTAAAACATAAATAATATGATATACATATATATATATATATAATATATATCTGTTCTGCACCTCTCTCCCACCTCGCTCTCTGCTCAGAGGTTACGCACAGAAAATAGGCTGCTGAAGCAGAGGATTGAGACTCTGGAGAAGGTAAGAGATGGGTTTTAATTCTAAAATAAATCAGGTTTGTGCATTGACACGAAACAGACAAATTGCTCAGCACAGGACTCTTGGCGTTTTGATCAGATCTAGTTAAACACTGTCACGAGATAACGCTGTGGGTTTAAATTTTGTTTACATTTTTTTCCCCGATGGTTTTCTTCTCCTGAGGAGCTGTGTGTGTGTGTGTGTGTGTGTGTGTGTGTGTGTGTGTGTGTGTGT